TCAGGCGAATCAAACTCCTAACTTTACTATGAACACTTGGAGGGCCGTTGTACTCAAAAATAATTACACAGGCACGCCAATAACAACTTAGTTACATCAAAAGAAGATGCTTCGGGATGAAATGCCTCTAGCATAGCAAATCCATTAATGAACTTTTGCGGTCAAACCTAGGGTTGGAGAACAAATGTTGTAAATAACACCTTATACAAAACGTCACAGAGAAAGGGTAACGGAATTACTTATTTGGAGACCGCGGTACTACAGGCCTTAGATAAATTTTAGAGAGTGGGGACAGATTTGAAATCGCCCGTGTATTCTGAAAGGCAGTTCGATCGCGACTTCACTTGAAGCAGCAGGAGAGTTTGGTGACTTCATAGATCAGATGTAACTCTGCGTTTTGACGAAGGATCAGCTCTGTCAACTTGAAGCTGTAGCGCTGCAAAACTTTCACCTAAAAAAATAATTTTAATGCCAGCGATCAGGAAGTTAGAGACGGTGTATGCTGTAAACAAAAAACGCAAGAGCTTTTTCAGAGTCCATACATGTATTTCTCCTGCCAGATCCTCTTCCTCCTTCTCTGTAAGACCCTCTTTCCACTTTTGCACTGCTTCCATGGCGTTACATGGTATTTCTATCCCAAACATATGCTGAAAGGTTCTGTTGGATAAACAAATGTAATATAATATAGATTACGTTACGTAACGGATAACGAATCGAAATAAACTTCCATCCAGTACGAAAAACTATTTGCCAGCAAGTCTTACTTTGGGACAAGTTTAATTCAGAAAAATCCATGAATCACCTATTATTTGTGATAAAGTTTAAGACGTAAAATGTTACGATAAAATTAATTACCAGAATGCCAATAGGAAACAAGAAGACGTTTTCGCGATACAAATCCTGAAAAAAACATTCGAAAAAGCTTAATTTTTTTTCATATGGGCCATTTAACAGTGGAAAATGACACACCTTTTGAGAACAGCCACGCAGGAAAGGAACAAAGCACTTCAGACCAAAATTTACACACTTTCCTTCTGCAAAAGTACTTTGTTACTTTGCGGAAAGGCAGAAACCTCCAAATAAGAGGACAAGAACTTACTCGAGAAGCAATACAAGCACAGTCTGTTGAGTAATTTTGGCTCACGCGGCGAGACAAACATCCAAAATCCGCATTCACTACACTCAATGGCGAAGATAGGTTTTGGGAGGACTCTAAGAAGTGGGACTGTCCAACTAAATAATAAAACAATGTAGAGGGAATCTTAGAGCTTCAGAAACTTCAAAATACATCCCATTCACTTCTATCCTGCGTTTTCCAAACTTTCTCCCCTATACAAATGGAAAGTAAAAAAATCAAAACTGAATTTATTCGTTACCTGTTATCCGACAATCAACAATCACTCAAGTCTTTTATCTATATCAATATAGACGGGTAACCAAATCTTAGGATCTAATGAGTAAAACCTACTTTATCGCAGCACACTGAGCAGGTACATGCTCAAGCAGCCTGACTGTTATAGGTACTTCCGGGTCCACACGGCTTAAACACTTGCTTCCATATGTGAAACCCTCAAAAACTTCTCCGTAACTATCCATACCACTACAAGACAAATTTCTTTCACAATATGATAAATTATCCTCTTGATAGAAATTTTACAAAACCTCAAAAAGAACCCACAACTACAAAGAACCGGTAGCACGTCGAGTTAAAAGCCTCATAAAAATGAGCTTAGTTCTATTCAAAAAAAAATATTGACAACCCAAGGTCTTACCGCCTACCCCAAGTCCCTTGAAAATCATTAAAAATGTAAGTCCAACTTACTGAGAACGGGAAATTTCTAGACAGCAAACTGACAAAATAATTCCCAAGGTATGTTCCAATTATGGCCGAGCGCAGAGCATTCAAGGAAAATAGACCACGCAAGGCATCCCCTGAAAGTTTTAAGAACAAAAATCACTTATAATAGTTATATCACTAAATTTAAATTGCAGAAAAAAATAAAAAAAAACGAGAAATGTACAAAATATCCTAGTGCACTTCATTTCTGCCTTCATCGTTTCAAACAACGGTATCCTCGGCAAAAGCGACGCCGAACAACAAACCAACTACATCAGGCTTCTTTCCAACGCAACAGATAAATGTAGTGAAAATGGACCAGTCTATAGAGCGGAGCTTTTATAAGCTTTTTTATTTTAAAAAAAATTTGAATTTCAGGATCTATGCATTGAACAATCCAAGTCTGATACTAATCCTATTGCAATAAACTTCTACTCGTCTCTAAACGCCCTTTTTCTAGGTCTAAAGACTCCCCTTCACAAAATACTCAACTTCTGACACAAATCCTCTGTTGACCCACAGCAAAATTTCATAATTGTGCTTTGCACTAGACTTTTTAGTTCAAGCTCTCTTCCTTCATTAAAAACCATAAATTACTCGCAAAGCACCGAAAAATGCATCAAGACAGCCACTATCCCAAATTCATGCGACTTCTTTTAATTTTCCCAGCTTTTAATTTAAATATATTTTACTTCAAATTTTCATCAGCGTCCCAAGAAGAACACTCCATCAAAGTAAACAATTTTTCATTTCAAAAATTTACTCTAGAGCAAAAGCTTCAAACTGCCTTCCCGTTTCCCTTCCCTTCACAGTGGACCCCGACTTAAACCAACCAATAGCCTTTCAATAAAGCCAAATAAAGCACATTTTATCATCAACCACAAAAACACTACTTGCACTTTCTGCAAACTGTAGGGTAAGAAAAGCAGAATACGACATACAGCCAAGCAGATCGAGCAAATAAACCCATTGATTTCATGAAGGGTTGGGCATGCCAGTTATGCCAATGCCTGTTAACGTTTTTCACACCATCGGTAATACCAAAAAACTTCAAAAAAATATGAATTTTAGTCCAGCTGGAGCGTGCCGAAAATGTAAATTCAAAAGTCCGTCTACCCACCTGATCTATTCGACTGACCAGCGTTCATCTCTTATTCACGTTAACTTTACTATGCAAAAGCGCTAAAATAAAACTAGCGCGTCAAAGTCCTCAATCCAAAGCATTTTCAACAAGCAGCCAAAATGGTTATTTTCTGCATCTTCGAAAAAAATTCTTAACTTTTCATCTCTCAACAACCCTTGACAATCAATTACTGTAAACCATTTCTCAGTAAGCATCATTTTAGTCCGCAATAACGTGAGATAACTAAGCTACTGAAGTTCTTAAAATTTTAATTGTTCTTCCTGCTTCTCCGAGAAGTCACTGTATTAAATAACAGTAAACTCCTTAGTTTTAAGCAGCAAATACAGCGAGATATCACTTTAGATTGAAGCGCAACGCCAGAAAAAAAGAAACAAAGAATTACATAAATGAGAAAGATAACTGCGCTTTTCAGCAAAATCAAAAATGTCTTGTCCCCAACCTACTTACTCAGCATCCGGGCACACTGTAGAGTATCCACTACACTAACATCACACATATTTATCAAGTGTACACAAGCACAATATAAGTTATCAAAACACTACGGCCTAAAAATCAAATTTATAATAGGCTTAGGAATAGCAATACAAAAATTTTTGTACTGTAATACAGATAAAAAAAAAATGAACTTCATCACAGAAAATCTGAAAGAGAATTTTTAACTACTACGATAAACTGGTGAAAATATATGTACGCTATAGCTCCTACACAATTTTTCCGACTCCGGCGAACTTAAAGACAATAAATTCCGCTAAACAAAAAATTATGTAAAGAACTATTCTTCGAAACATTTTTAATAAAAGTACCATTTCTAGATTTGGTACACTTGCGGTTAAAAAAGCAAGTAAAAATTATTTTTCGAATTATCCATTTCTCATAGCGGAAGTGAAAGCAACTCTACCATCCGCAAAGGGTTTATTAATATTAAACTCTAAAGCGAGCTCCGCCTTCAAAGCTCACCCTAAAAATGAGCGCGAGAAAAACTATCGTTCAAAAAAATGACGTCCACTCCCCAAAAGCACAACCCATAAATAAAAAACACTAGAACAATTAAGTCAAGCATGACTATTTTGAGTAACCTGCCAGTTCAGTTATTTCCTTCATAAAAAATAATGTAAATTTCAAGAGTGTCTCAAGGCCCGAAAGAGTCCCACCCAGATACGCTAAATACTTCATTTTTTTT